TGATATGATTTCCTATTTTGAAGATACGCCTAGTAACTAAAATATTACTTTTAGTAACATATTTCTAATAACTTAAGGTAATCACTTCATAAATAATTTAGTAATTTTAACAGTTAATTATATATGTGTAGTAAACAATCGTTTGTAACTAATAATGGATAAATTCAAGATACAGTAGTAAAAAACAAAAATCGATTTCAACTAAAAGGTCCGTTAATCAATCATAAAAATGTATCATCTTGTATAGACATATAAATCAGTTCGAAGTTGTGACTATTTTGATTGGCACATAGAAAAACAAAGAAAGTATTTAGATTAGAATCATTGAAGTTAAAATAGCAATAGCAGTATGAAAGGCTAAATAATTTAGTCTAATATTATTCCCTAAGAATTATAGAGAAAAAGTCAATGAATACAAGATGAACAACGGATTCATAGAAGTAGTTAATTCAATGGTGGTAATATATAAAAGAAAGAGTGCATATAAGGATATAGTACAGGAAGAAAGAATTAGATAATCTGTGTATGAACCAATCAAAAAGTCTAACAGCGAGCTTCTATATCCTAGTTTAACATTATTCAATTATATATACCATTAAAATTTTATGCACAGTGGCTTCACTAAGTTATAGAATTATCACACTGTTAGTAGGATAAATTCCTGAATACTATTGTGCTTTGATCTGGCTCAAAATTTGAAATATACTGCATTAGTCTATTTTTAATTAATCAGTTCTGATAGACAAACAGAAATGCTAGGAGATTCTTATACCAATTCTATATCATAAACTCTACTCTACATGATCGATAGCATTCGATCTGAACTAATAAGGACTTGACACACATGACATTGATCAGCAGCCAGTGATCAATCAATTGTGATTACATTACAGTCCCACAGGAGGTCTGTCGCGGCCCGGACAGCTCAGTAGTAGTGTCACTGATTGTGAAGTTGGGTGACACGGGCTCTTATCCGTCAGGAAGCATTAGTTCCCTCAAGATTAGAGGTATACCTTGCTGACAAGTGCCAATTAGCACGAAACCCGGGTCCAAGGTTTCTTGTCGACTATCTCCAACCACTATCTAATCTACTGTTTTTATCTTATTGTCCCTCTCCTTAATGGTATAAATTTTGTTCACTCACAATTCCTGTTATGATTTAAGATGAAAGAAGTAAATTTCTAGGGTTATGAAATACTAAACTATATAAGAATAAAATAATCCATTTAACAATCTTATTATAGTTAGCCATTTTAGAAATAAATTATTGAAACCATAAAAACCCTAGATAGGAAACTGGTATTAAAACAAGTTATAAGCTGATGGAGAAGATTTGTAGGTCAGGTGGATGATTTTGATGGAGTTTTGTTCTCTGAGCTGGATAGTTTGGTCGTAGAGCTTTCATCGTTTTTCTGAACGACATCATCAGCACAAACTTCAGATAGAAATCTTCTATCTAGAACGATGAAAGCTCCATGACCAAACCATCCAGTTCAGAGAACGAAACTCCGTCAACAAGTCATAAGCATAATATCTAACACTATACTGAATTTAAGTTATTACTTACTATTAATCAGTTAGAATATATCTGTTATTTACTATCTGGTTTATGATTCATTTATTCTAATTAAAATATATTTAGACATTATTAAGTGCAACTTAGGATAAGACGAATATAGAACATTTTTATTGATTTTACTGACAAATACAAAAAAATCACCATACATGAAATCGCTACAACATTAATTTGATTTAACCCAAGAGAAGAAAAAAAAAATACATGGTGAAGAAAATGAATCAATCACAACTAATCAATAAGTGACTATAGAAAATCAATTCAATTTTATAATTGAATAAAATGATTTCATTCTTCTTATGAATAATATGAATTGTGATATAAAGCAAATATATTCTATAAAACAATGAGAAGACGGAGTTGATCTGAAAAATGTGATGTATTTGCGCTATACATTTCGAACAATCTAATTATATGTGATAAGGATTTCGATGTTTACCGATTACTGGATAAACTCAATGATGTTCAAAATGATATTGTGATGACACATGAACCAGAAAGTAATGGCCAATTAGCCTTTCTAGACATACTTTTAAGTCGAAGGGATGATGGCACTATTAGACGGTCCGTGTATAGGAAACCAACTTGGACAGGACTATACTTAAATTTCCATAGTTTCTGTCCATTGCAATACAAGAGAGGTCTAGTTAAGTGCCTCTTTAAGAGGACTCGAAGAATTTGTACTTCTGATATGGTGGAAAAAGACGAAAAGTTATTGACTGACACTTTAATAGCTAATGGTTATCCACTGAAGTTTATTAATAGGTGCAAAAGTCAGTTAATGCCAAGACCTCTAATTTATTCAGTGCCAAAGAAAAAGGTTTACATCAATCTACCATATAGAGGCGAATCAAACAGTATAGTTTTAAGACAGAGATTGAAAGCAGCCATTGAGAATACGTATTATGCTGCTCAGTTGGTTGTGATTGAAAAGTCTAAGGCCATGATTCCTAATAGACCTAAACAATGCATTAATGAGTACGTCACATCCCATTGTATTTACCAATTTACATGTTTGTGTGGACACAAATACATAGGGAGGAGTAGTCGAACAATGCAATCAAGGGTCAATGAACATGTGCCCAGATGGCTTCAAAATCAGTGTGTGTCAAATGACCCGATCAATGTAGGAGGTAGAAAACCAAGTTCATCGATAGCAAAACACATAATTGAGACGGGGCACAAGATTGACATTAATACAGCATTTAGAATGTTGCATAGAAATTGTCAAGGTCGAATTCTTAAGTTTATTGAAGCCTTAGCTATTCGTAAATTTAAACCCCCCTTATGTGTACAAAAACAATTTGTCGTAACCTTGAATTTACCTTGGTAATCCTTAAGTCATTTTATGGCCTAGGATAACACGACAATTTCTTATTCTTTCTCTCCCCTTAGTTATTTTAATTGTACTTTTATTCGTTTGACCTTTATTAATTTTCATATAAAAATGCCTTGACAAGTATATGTGTGATCAGATTGTTTGAAATGTATAGCGCAAATACATCACAGTTTTCAGATCAACTCCGTCTTCTCATTGTTTTATCGAAATTTATAAAAGGGACTAATTGCTTTAAATATATTCTAATCAGAATGTCACTGTCAGTGTTTCCAAGTTTTCCATGGTGGTCTAACTTTAATTGTTTCATGATTTCAACCAATTGAAATATATTTTTTCTCTCTATTGTTACTGTCAAATTCAATGGTATTTGAAAAGTCTAATCTTTTATTTTTTTAAAAATGAAAATCAATAAATCAATAAATTCGAAATGAACAAAAATAACCTTGACCATTTTAATTAAGATACAATTCATTATTATTGTTTATTCATTTAAATAGATTCATTTATAAAATTTCCATTTTTATGTTATGAATAAAATCAATTCTCAAATAAAAAGTTTTCTAATTTGTATTGAGTATGCTTGCATACTATTTTTAAGTTTTTAAGCAAAGATGGATAGTGTCTAGCAATGGAATACAGGAGGCACACGTCCTCCAATTTGGGACTCGTCAGCTGGATTTACCTGCATCCACTTAACTACTGAGTCCCGATAGTCACCTGCTTGTGCAATAGGGTGAAGTTTAAATTCACTTGATGTTGTTTTACTCGTATCTTCTCATTGTTATCTAGCTGACGAGTCTCAAATAGGACGAAACACGTGTCCTGGATTCCAATGCTAGCCACTATCCATGTTTGCTTAAAAAGCTTGTGACTTAAGGATATATCGAGGCAATCTGCACAGGATGCATATATGTCAACATGAGACTGATCAATTGCAGTCCTAAATAACAAATGGCAGATACAAGTAAAACAACACCGAGTAAATTTGTTTTTAAGTTTGTGTTTTTGTAGTTAATCAATTTGTAAACGATATCATATCTGTAAATTAGAAGAGAATTTATTAAATGTAAATGTACTTTAGAATAATATAAAAGGTTTATATTGCAGAAATTAAATAACTGATAGTTCAATAGTTTCAATGAATAAAATTTCATTGATTCATTTGATGAACTTAAGAAATAAACTTATTCTAACATGAAATACTAAAATTAATTGAGCATTAGTAGAATAAACATACAATCAGACATGAACATTCAGAGTATTATTTGATTAAGCAGAACCTTTAAAATAAACAAAAAAGTAAATCTAAATATGATACAATTTGTATGATGACCTAATGATACTTATCCAACTGAAGTTAAACAGACTTGGTATTTGTGGTTCATTAGTTAAAAGTAAAATAGTTTAATACGCCTAGCTTTATTTAGCACTAAACCAGTATAATAGAATAATCGATAAAATACCGTTCACAAAACTAAAACAATGGTATAGTAACTTGAAATTAATGACTTAAATCGTATTCTTAAAACGCAATTTCCTGAATTTGCTTATACGGCGTTTTGCTTTATTGTTGAAGCGAAATTCACCGATATTTATATATCAGGAAATACCTTTTTTGAAAACACGTTTCTAACATTATTTTTAAGTGTTTTAGGTTTACATGTAGTTAATTTTTTAAAGCTTTATTTCAAACTTCGTTTCCCTGATGCTCAATGTAATTTATTTATATTCGTAGACTTAGTTAATCAGTAATGAATACTGTAGGGACTCGCATAAATATCACCTACATTTAGGAATCGAACCCAGGAATTCTGGTCTCGCTGGCATATTTTTGGATAATAATATTCTCAGCGGTTAGTTAAAGTAAATATATCAGCCCTACATGAGGTCACTTTATGCCTGAGTAGCTCACTAGTAATGTTTCAGTTTATGACGTTGAGCGATGCACGTTCAAATCCAGTGGAAAATATCAATTTCATCAACTAGCACTAAACTCAAATCAAGCAGTGTTTCCTGCTAATTATACTCACCTACCTTACATAATAATAATATTCTTTGCAAACTAAATATCAATAACACACTTACCGCTACAAAAGCAGGATCCATATCATTTCTGACCATATATGCTTGTAATTCGTCTATTGTGATAGTTTCTGAAAATGCCAATCAATCAGTCAATCGAATAATCAATCAATGAATAAGAATATATCTATTCAAACGTAGATTAAATGTTATACACATGCACAAACAAATCTTAACCCATCAATATTTGATTGTTGTTAATAAGGTGACTGTAATCGATTTACATTGTCAATTTATTTTTAGCATAAACCACTTTCAAATGTAAATAGAATAAGTGAACAATCATTTCGCATATACATATATATTTTTATGAGACAGGATTATGCAATGGTTGACCTTATTGTTTGATTAATTCAGTTCGTAAATACTAGTCTGTACTTTGATTATTTTAATATCAGTGTCACTTAATTAATAAACATAGAATAGTACTATATAAACTTATGTTAATTTAATTCGGCTATATATTTACTCTGGAAAAGTGGCTTACATTATGTCACGAAACGTCAGAAATACAATTTTTCTAGGCATTGGGATATAACAAAAAATGTTTATTATTAGCTCTCTACTCAATGATCAATTTGTTCGAAACTATCATAGTCATAGTACAAAAAACTAGCAATCATAATTCGTTTGTTTATAATTACAGTCACCTAGATGATTGTATGGGAAGGATTATTAATCATAGTTTCAGCTTGTTATAAAGACAAGATCAAAACAATTTTATTTTCTTTTAAATTGGTCGCGTAGAAAGTCCCATCTTAACCTAAAATCTATATTTATCATTATCATTCGTTAGTTATTTAGAGGTTGATTGTTTTATTCAGAGTCTAAAGTTTTTCCTCAAAATCATGAATCAGTCTAAATTAGACCACCATTGAAAACCTGGAATTATTGAACGGTCGTTTCTTCCTTGTGTGGGACTCATTACTGATGTGCAAACTCGATTCCGCACACGAGGCTTGAACCCAGAACATTCAGTCTCATATACAAACTCTTAAGCTTCAGAAGACTGAGTTGGCATCCAAAGATATTAGTTTCTAATTTAAATCTCCTACTTTCACAATTAACTTCATAAATAGTAATTGTTTCATCAACCCTAGACTATCCATCATCAATGATATTTTGTGTTACATATTCGAAAGAAGTGATTTCGAATAGAGACCTCTTTCTACTGGAATCATTATTTATATTTCAAGAAAATTCAGACTGAGACTGGACTCAAACATGTAACCTCAGGAATACTGATTTAAACAATTTGTCAATAAATCTGAAAGCATTTACAGTTAACTGGATTTTGAATTTAGTTGATTTCTTACGCAGTATGTCTATTTTTCCAATTATTTAGTAGACAAATATCTATTCACATTTTTTTTACATTACTAATTACTCAAGGGTATAGTTCAATCTTAATCGGAATAAAAAGACGAAATAAGGTACTAAAATTCACCAAAGCTTCAAACATCCATTAATAATAACAAAATTCTAACCTGAACGATCTTGATCTATAGCGAAAAACGCTTCTATAAAAGCATCCATATTTATCATATGTTTTATAACAAACGAATTCACAATGTGTAATCAGGACTTTAGAGAGAATATGTTTCGGATTTTTATTATTTTAGACACGCATTATGTCATAGAATAGGAACAGAAGCGTGGTTTTATTTTCGCCCACGTTTTTGAAGGTCACTTGCAAAGGCCAATACACGAGAGCCAATAAGAAACCGATAAAAATATTTTTAGTATTTTGTTCATTTGTTTTTGTTGCCTAGATGAATTTATTTGTCTATTAATTATTAAGATATCTGATAGTCCAATCATTGTCGAATTGTAAATCTACGATAAAAAATCACCTACGCACATTGTTGTGACTGGAATAGGTTAAACATTAGTTGCCTTAGGAAAACAAAAAAAACTAGTCGAAGTATATCTTGTCAGCAAGCACTGTAGGTACATGTTTTTTTTTAAAAAAAATTAGAATATTTTCATCAGATCATCATTAACGATTTTAGTGTTTAATATGATGGTCTGTAAAACAAACAACGTGTATATTCAATATATAAAACAAATTTTCTCATCATACAGTAGTTAGATATAGGCCCAGAAAAAATAAAGCTCTAACCACAAATCAAGTTCTGTAATCGATAGTTCTCAGTCAGTTAGTCAGTCAGTTATAACGTAGGACCAGGCACATATGTGCATCGATTCAAGTTACCACACCTCATTAGCACAGCAAGACGAATACCGGATTCATAGAAGCAGTTAACTGAATGGTGTAATATATAAAGGAAAGATTTTATGTAAGGATAAAGTACAGAAAGAAAGAATTAGTTCGTAGAAAGATATAAAGCAATTTTAATCTCATAGTTTATGGGAAGACTATGAGTGCATACACCGATGCTATTGTGCTCGATCGATTCTGAGCCATGTCACACAGAGTCTCCAACCATTGGTTATGATAGTCGCGCAGACCCCAACTAAGTAGTCTGCATCTACCAACATGGTTCAGACTAGAAATTAGCGACTTTAAGCACTGATGCCACGTTTTGGTTTGGCCGCTCCTAACTTTTTCCTACCACTCCCAACACTAGTCAGCATTACGCGTAGTGGTAGCTGATGTTCAGGCATACGTAACACGTGCCCCAACCATCTCAGTCGATGAAGATTCACAACCTCATCAACTGATTTACCACCATTCCCTAATACCCTGAGTCTAACCTCACTATTGCCTACCGGATGATCCCAGCAGATGCGAGCAATATTACTAAGGCATTTGTGGTCAAATACTAGTAGCTTACGAGTATCTTCTACTCTTAATGGCCATGTTTCGCAGCCGTAAATTAAAACAGAACGGACTGCCGCGCAGTATACTCGTCCTTTTATTGATAGACGGATATCTCACCTTCGCCAAAGACGTAAGTTGGCAAAAGACAAACGAGCTTTTCGAATCCGTGCTGATATTTCGTCAGACACCAACCCACTAGGGCTGATCAGACTTCCAATATAAGTGAATTTATCGACGCGTTCGACCACTTCACTCCCTATCCTTAGTTCAGGTGTTGACGCAGGCCAGTCCTGAAGCAACAACTTGCATTTAGAGGGAGAGAAGCGCATTCCAAACATTCTGGCATTGTTGCTCAGTGCTACCAAAAGACTGCATTTTGTCAGCGTCTTCATCAAACAACTATGTCATCTGAGTATTCTAAGTCGATAAGTGGACCTCCTGGAAGGAGATCAATACCCGAGAATTCAGTCGACGAGAATGTTATTTCCATCAGTAGGTCTATGATGAAGTTAAACAGCAATGGAGAAAGTGGACAGCCTTGACGGACACCACTTGAGGTTGCAAAAGTAGATGACAGTTCGCCATAAGCTCTGACCCGACTAGTAGTGTTCGAGTAAAGATCCTTTACAAGGTTTATGCACTTCTGAGGTACACCTTTTCAATGACAGACTCTGCTACAAAATCTCGTGGTCCACGGAGTCAAATGCTGCTTTTGAGTCAAGAAAGACCACCATTGTCGGACGCCGACGAGTATCCCTGTGTTCTAGAACCTGACGAATGGTGAATATGTGGTCGATGCAGCCACGAACAGGTCTGAAGCCAGCTTGATTCTCTCGTGTTTGCAGTTCACGAGTCTTAGTTAGGTGTCTGATAATTATCGAGGCTAGTAGATTAGATGCTATATTATTAAAACTAATCCTTCTGTGGTTGTCATATGATGATTTTGACCCTTTCTTACATATTGGGACAATAAATGATTGCGACCAGTCAAATGGGATAACGTCCAACTCCCAGATGTTAGCTAAAATATTAGCCAACCTAGTCGCTAAAATTGAACCAGCATACTTAAAAACCTCTGGAGCCAATCCATCTGGTCCAGCTGCTTTTTCTCATTTCAGATTAACTATAGCCTTCTGAACTTCAACGACAGTCGAGGGATCTACTTCAATGTTCCATTTACGTTGTCTGTGAATGGTGGGTAGTTGTGTAGTAGCTGAAGCCCAGGTAAACTGCTCTTTAAAGTGTTCCGACCGTCTTTCTAACGTCTGGACTGGGAGCAGATAAAAGTGTTGTCTTTTTTCCGAGATAGTCTCACTTACACTTGACTTTCTGGTTCCAGTTTCTTTTATGAGTCTGAAGAGTTGTCTTGTGTTCAATATAGCCGCAGCCTTTTCCATCTCCTTCGCTTTCGATGCTCACCACTGCTCATGGTCGTTCATTAAACTTTTGCTGAACCTAGATCGAGTTCTAATTCATGCACTTTTATTTATAACTCATTGTAACCAATATTAATGGTGAATTATTAGTTTATTAGAGGATGTATTAAAATTGTTTGTTTGGATGTTTTCTCAAACTTTTCAACTGATATTTGTAGCTAGTTAACAAAAAACTAACATGGTTTTTAGGCTTCATGATTCCAATCAGTGACACAAAATCTAACCATTTATCCAGTAGAATAAGGCTCCTAAATAACTTATATGAACTCAAGATAATACATAGAAGATTAAGTTACAAAATTAGGGTAAATCACTTTTCTGAATTAAAGTTTTTAGTTGTTGTAAAACTGCTATAAATTGAAGTAGTAAAACCCTGCTCAAAAGTGTACATCAAAGCTCTATGATTTATGGACATGTAAACGAAAAACTTATCCAAAACCCCTTTCATTTTGTGAACGCTAAATCTTCTAGTAACTTATTCTTAGATCATTGTTGAAAACCAACAGTTCACATTTTCGAAATAAGTCAAGTTGCAGTAAATTACACTGTTGAGAGTAACATATTAGAACAGAACAAGTGCCCAGCCTTATCTAGTTTTCGAGATTTTCCTGTATGAGATCGGTACATGATGTTATTCCTACAGTTTCTTCAAATCTCCCATTCTAAGAAGTTGATAAATTATATTATTTCATGAGACAAATGTTAGAATATAAGAACGTTATTAGCCACTAATTCGAAGTATGTCTTTTGAAGCAACTTGTCACTATGATTACAACCTATGAATTATAACTGTTGAAACAACGTGTTCATAATTTTTTATCGACTTAATCTTAATACCCCTCTTACAGAATAGACCGTCGACTAGGGACCTCGAACCAACTCCATGCTTTCCTTGTTAATTGTCGTGAAGAGCTATTGATGCCATCAATGTCTGTGTCTAACCCTCAGCTCCATGTATCCTTCAGTCTATCTCTGTTTCTTCTGCCTTGAAGATATTACGTTAGGGTTTTTAAAAAGCATACCCCGTCACTCATTAATTCCATGATTCCATGTTACAGAAAATATTTTCCCTTAGTTTATAACTAAAAGCCCAAAATGAGAAGCTGACTATTCTAATATTTCTTCATCTGCAGAGACCTGTAGATCACCACTGTAGATGGTGTGTTTACTCTAGTTCGATGGGAATGGTTAGACATCTTAGATTACGTCAAAGTCACACCTCGCCATTGGTATCTAATCTGAACAACTTTGTCGTGGTATCCAAATAATTTGATTACTTTGCCCATCACATTGAACGAACATAAAATTATTAAACGAATATACTATGGGAAAAGACGAGAGGATTACTGAATTAAGCCACTGTCACATGGGCTAGATTATGGCGTGAAATCGGTTGATCGGCGTTAGTCATCTTTCTCCTTAGCAGTATTCGATAAAATATCCAACGTTAGATAATCTACAGTCTACAGTATAGGATGATGATTAGGCTAAGGACCAGTAATATTTCAAAGGCACTACACATAATATCGTGCAAAGAATATTGAATAGGCATAAAATATGAGTAAGGAGTTGTGAAGATTGTTGAGTTTCACTGAAATAATGGACCGATCAATATTAGTCCTAGTGTAGGCCTTCTCATCATTGCCTATGACAAACCTGCAACTAGCAATTGATGATCATTCAGAGCTTTCAGGTTTTCAATAGTGGTCCAACTTAGATTGGTTCGGTGAAGCATAAGTGTCGTTTAAATGTACTACTTGTAAATATAAGTAGTGTGAAAGTTAAATTACTAAAATAGATATTTTTTCATGTATGTATGTACATGTCCATAATTGACCGAACTTTACACAAAAAATTTCCAGACCCCTAACAAAGTCATTTTCGGTTTAATTTTTCAATTTGTGTACTGTACAATTGCTATGATCTCGTCAATTTAGTACTTGCTACGATTCCTGTAAATGAGGTACCACTGAATAAACCTAATCTTCCTTAGATTAACTCAATTATTACATGAAAATGTATGCATCTAGTTGGAATTCTACTAAAACCCTGCTGTCCTTTCAGTCTATCTCAGCAAAGCCATATTAATATCATTTTTACGTTGACGAACATGATAATCATCGTACTGTGGTGAACGAGAACACAGCCGGGATCACCAAATGTACTTGAATACAAAATTACAGGATGTGCTAGTAAAAACTGAGAACCATACAATAATAACTTCATTTGCAAAATGTCAACCAGTTGTCTCAAACTTCATTGTTTCTTCGTTTCTACAACAATCGTTCTCTGTTCTCGTTCTCATATCCTCTATCTTCTCAACCTTCTGCCGCCAGGCATTCCACTTTCGATTGATGATACATACTACTTTTATCTGTTGACAATAGTAGCACACACCACAGTAGCAATGATTTTTCATTTTTTAGAGCACTGATTGT